GGCATGGCCAGGGCACCGCCGAGCTCCATGCCTGCCTCCGGCATTGCTTTTTAGAAAAAGAAAAAAAAAAAACCACTCCAAATAGGTTATTTAAAAGCAGAAAAAGTAGCAGCTTTTGCAATGGAGCCTGCAATAAAAAAGGAGCTTGCAAAGCCTGAACCAAGCCCAAAGCCCCCGCAAAAGAAACAAGGCAGTCCCCAAAGGGGAATGGGACACAGCGGCCAAGGAAAGGGGTCCCTGTTTGCTCTAAATGTCGTCTGGGGGGGAAAAAAGGTTTAAAAGACTAAAGGGGAAAATACACCATCGGGTTCCTCCGGGCAGAGCGTGGCCCTTGAGAGCGGGGAGCCGAGCAGCCGGCTGCTTGGCGTAGGAGGGACGCTAGCGACCGAGCGCCCAGAATGGCGCGTCACCCTCCCCGCAGCTCTGCCGTGCCAAACGCTGCTCAGCTCCACGCTGCTGGGCCCGGCTCTGCTCCCGAGGCGTTAATTAAACATCATTAATAGCCACGTGCCATGGCCCTGTTAACCGCAGCGGCACTGGTGGGGGATGAGTTTAACGCACTCGCTGGGGATTTTAAAGGTCCCAGAAGTATGGGTTTTGAGGCTCTGCGTCACCTGCACCATGAGGAAGCTCTACCCATCATTTTACCCTTGGCAAAGCCCAAAAAACCTTGGAAAGATGCATGGAGGAACCGTGGCTGCCCAAAGAGCACCCGTGCCAGCCTGGCCCCACGGGGACCCGGGGAGGGGGCGCGGGTTCAGATGCTGGAGCCCATGTCCCCGAGGGGTTGCGGTAGCATGAGGAGGAGGAGGTAGAAGAGGTGCCTGTGCCACCGAGCTGCCCCCACCGCCCAGTTTCCCTGAGAGATGGCGCCGGCTTCCAAACCTCTCCTTGATTTGCTCTGGATTAAAAGAAGAGCTTTAGCAGATCAGCCTTAAATCCAGCCTCACGCTGCTCCCGGCACAAAAGGGAAGCGGTAACAGCTTGCACGGCTCCAGCCCGCTGCACAGCGCCAGCTGCAGGGGCTTTCTGGGGAGGGGACGGGGGTCTCGTCCCCAAGGCCTCCGGGGTGCTCTGGGGTCGTGGTGCACCTTCCGCCCATCCCGCCCCCGCCGGGCTTCGCTCCCGCAGCCGCCAGCCAGACACGTGGAGGAGCAGGGCTGCGGAGCCATCCCTGGGCACACGGCGGGATGGATGGCCCCATCCCCATCCTCATCCCCATCCCGTCCTCCTCCTCCCAGTCAGGACCAGAAGGACCTGATCCCTTGGGCAAGTGGCCCCAAAAACCTGAGCAATCACCCGCCAAACGGTGCTGTACTCTCAGGGCGGGGGCCTTTGTTTGACTTTCTCCCGCTCTGGCATGCAAGCGGCCGGGCTGGGTGGGGACCTGTTTGCTCTAAGAAGCCGCTTTGGGCAGCCGTTTCCCTCTCCTCTCCCTCTTTTGCTTTTCCCTGGAAAAGGAGAGCTGGAGGAGCAGCCCCTGGCACACCGAGATGCTCACGGGGAGCACTGACCCACACGGCACACCAAAAACCTTCATGTTCCCTGCCCGAGCTAAATGGGGCTGCGCTGGTAATTGCATCAGCCCGGGGAAACACTCACCGGCTTGTGCACGCTGCCGGCGGGGGGCGTGGCCCCCGGTCCCATGGGCTTCACACCAGAGCTCGCCTGCGGCAAAGCCACACCAACGCAGCATAGTGCTCATCCCGCCACTCCAGGCAAGAAGGGAAGCAATCAGGGAATTGGCTTTTACAGCACTTTAAACAGCAGCCACCAAGATATAAAAGCCCACCAGGCCCCTGAGGTTTTGCCTCCGTGGGCACACAGGGGCCAAGATGCGGCACCGGGGGCTCAGCAGCCCATGGAGAGGCTCCAAGTGAGAGAGGTGCCGTGCCTGGGGTGCCAGGCAGAGTGGGGTGCTGCCTGCAGGACACCCGCCCCTGCCCCGGCACCCTCGCCCAGCCCTCCCCAGGCACCGGTGCTGCCTGCAACCCCGTCACGGGCAGGCAAGGCTCTGGCGCGGAGCAGCAGCGGAGCAGACCCCAAACCGGGATGGAGCCATCGAGTCCCCCAGGTGTTTCTCTGTGCCCACAACAAAGCTCCGCCACTGGGGCACAGCCGGGAGGTACCTGCCATCCCCGAGCCCCAAAACGATGAGTGACACTGCATCAGTCCCCAGTGCTACCCACGGATATGGAGAGGACACCCTGACCAGCTGGGACGGGGGCGAGGCGCCCCTGCTCCCCGCTCTCGCCGGCACCGCGGGGATGCTGCGGCAAAGGGCTGAGCTGCCGGCGCGAGGGCTCATTCCCCACTGCAGCGCGGAGCAGGGTGAGGAGGAAAAGGCAGCGGCTGCTGCCAAGGGGCACCGTGACAGCCTGGCCCCAAACGGCTCCAACAGCAGCTGAGAAAACAAACCCAGACGTTCCCTTCGAGCAGAAAGCCCGGGGGCAGCAGGGCCAGCGGCAAGCCCAGGGTTTTTGGGTGGTGTCGGGTCACGGCTCAGTTCCACTGGGCTGCAGGGACTCAGCCCCATCCAGAGCCCAGGGAAGCAGTGGATGCCGCAGCTGAGGGGGGTGAGGATGGGGACAAGGACCTCCTGTATCACCCCGAGCTCTCCTGGCAAACGCAACCCACCATTACTCGGGGTAGCAACACGGGCACCAGTGACAGGGGAGAGCTGGGATCAGCCCTTGGGAGCAATAAAAAAAAAAAAAAAAAAAAGAAATCCACCCAACCACCACCCTCAAACAATGGGTCTGTTAATTAAAATTAAATCTGCGGTTAAACAGGTTGTGCTGGAGCACGGCTCAGGAAGCCCCGTGGGACCGGCGGAGGTTGGCCCGCTGCGGGAGGAGGTGCTGCCCGCGGCACCCAGGATGTCTCCCAAATCCCCAGGCACTTCCGAAAGCCCTTCCTGGGCAGCCAGGCTCGGGAGCGGCCAGGGCGGTGGGCCAGGCTCCGGGGTCACCTCCAGCCCCCAGGCAGCGGGATGGGGATGGGGACAGGGATGTGTTGTGCCATCAGGGGAAGGAACCCGAGCCGTGCGGGATCCAGAGCTGTCCCAGACTGCCCAGAACAGCCCCCCCAGGCAGTGGGATTTGTCTTTAACCGACTCTTTCAGCTTCGCCCGCCCCACGTGCCTCCACACAGCCAGGACCCCAGGGATGGGAGAGGACCGGGACCCCAGGGACTCAGCAATCCCCTCTTTGCCCAAAAGCCCATCTAGGGCTGCGATCAGGGTGGTTTTTCCCTGTTTTCTGGCCTGACTCAGCACCTCTTGCCCCAGCCACCTCCCCGGGCTCAGCCCTCCACCTCGGTCCCCAAAGAGGGGCCAGCCCACGCCACAGTGCACACCCCGAGGACAACCACACCGAGGCACGGAGAGGTGATGGAGCCTGTTGGCTCTGCCAGATGGCTGCCGGCCAGGAGGAGACACGAGCCGTTTTATGGGGCCCAGATTAAGCAGGCGAAGGGACCTGGGGTTCCTGCACGAGCCGGGGCTGCAGCAGACACCCGGGTGCTCAGAGGCTGCTGGTAATTTGGGGTCCTGCCAGCGCGTCCCACCCACCCTGCCAGCCTCACCACGCGGGCTGTGCCACGTCCCTTCCGGCTGCCAAACCCTGCCTGCCTGTGCCACGCACCCCTTTTATGTCTGGGTGGAGGGAGGAGGGATTGACCAAAATCACCCCGCAGCGGGGCAGGGGCTTGGGACGGCGCTCAGAG